TCTGTCTGTCATTAGAAAATTCAGGCTTCTAAGAGATAAGATAGAGCCAGAACTGGTCCTCTCTTGTCACCAGACAAGTCTTCCAATACTGGAATTGGGTTAAATCTAATTGTGTCGCTGGCCAAAGGGGTTCATGCGAATCTCCAAACAATGCAGGCTTCTGCAAAGACAGAGATTGCTTTCCACAGACTCACAACACTTGTGTAGCTCATTAAACATGAAGAAGTTGAGCCGATGCCTACATAGAGCCTTCACCCCTACACACTAGTATCTTTGGTACAGGTAGGTACTCTGAGAGCTACCAAAAGAAAAACAAACATCAACTGGACTTCAAACCTTTTATTTACAATGATTACTGCCTCCAAGATAAGCTAGGGCAATGGTGGCACAAAGCTTGTGGGAGTAACCAACCTATATCTGATTTGACATAAGGCCCATTCAACTAGATCTTATTCATGTCTAACACTGCTTGTACAACTTTTATGTGATAGTTTTTTTAAATCCTATCATATTTTGTTTTGCTGTATTTACTATTATCTGAGGATTTCACTGTCCAATTAACAGCAGAGCTGACACATGGAATTGTAATACACAGTCTTAAATTCTATGTTAGTTCAGTTAACTTATATTTTTTAGGACTGTTGTATGTATCTGAATTAAAAAAAAACAACAATCTTTAGGGAATTGAGAAAGTGTTTTACTATGTGAAATTTGTGAAAAATCTTGGATTCATGTAAATTAACTTGCACTTTCCAATGTGTTTTACATCTCCCCCTAATTTAAGTTCTGATTTAAAATATTTCAAAAATTCATGTAATTTGATTGCATGTATGAATTTACATGAATTGAAGTTGTCTATACTTGCCTTGATTGCATTTTAACTGTATGCCAAAACCAACATTAAAAGAGTATATCTATTTCATGTAAATAGTATAATATCAAAGGTTTAACAAAAGTGATATTGTAATAAATCTAGTTAAACTCTATTTTCAGACTTGATTATTTTCTAGCTCAAGAAAGTTACCATGAACATAGTGTGCAATGTTCAGGTATGGTATTTATTAAGATAACTAGGATTCAATAAAAGAAAATAACAAAGCTCAGGAATTAAAGTTGCCTGAACATCTTGTTTGAAGAAAAGATGAGTTTGTGGAATTCTGCTTGTAAAGGAAATTGTCAATCTCCCATCCCAACTATGTTGTAAACCAATATTTGATTCTGGAAACAATTTAGTTATGAGATATATCTGGTAGATTTGTAGCATTATAAGTAGCTTAAAATGTATATTAGGCCTTTTCTTTCCATTTCATTTATATATCAAGTGAATTTCAACAAATAATATATTTCTCTTTAAATAGTTTGCATATGTATTATGAATAAGTGATACATAAAATTACACATAAGGATATATTTTGCAAAATATTTTAAGAATAATTTTTGGGGACTGTTCATTATTGATTTGCCTATCCTTGGATTTTTGAGGCTCCAATAAAAATTTTGGATTTGTTTTTCATTTTCTTCAGTAAAGGCCTAATAACTGATTGGGATTGCATAGAATCCATAAATTGCTTTTGATAAGATGGCCATTTTCACTAGATTAATTCTACCAATTCACGACCATACAAGTTTTTAAAAATTTTTTTGGAATCTACCTAAATTTCCTTCTTGAGTGGCTTAACATTTTCATGGTAAGGGACAGTTTTCTTCTCACACGTGTTCCGTTGTTCTGTTAGATGATTCTGAATGGATTATATCCCTTGTTTAGTTTCAGTATTGCTGTCATTCATACATAGAAAAATTAGATATTCTACTAATCTACTTTGCTGAAAGAATTTATCAACTCTAAGAACTTTCTGTTGAGTTTTAGGTCTCACTGAAAAACGGGGAACTCCTTTATCATTAATATTACCTTTTATTTCCTTCTCTTGTCTTACCAATCTAAGAGTTTAATCACTATTTTTAATTATTGAATAGGAATGGAGACTGGACATCCTTGTCCTCTTCCTGATATTAGAGGAAATGCTTTGACTTTTTCCACATTTAGAATGATACTGACTAGAATTTTGTCATGTAAATCCTTTATTTTATTGGGATGCACTCCCTCACTTGCTAGCCCTGTCATGCTTTTATTAGGAAGGGATGTTAGATGTCATCAAAGGCCCTTTCTGCATTCAATTACATACTCACATGATTTTTGCCTTTGAGTCTACTTATGAGATGGACAAATTTCCTGATTTACATATGTTGAGCCATCCCTGCATCAAACTGCAGGAAGAAGATTTTTTTTAATTTTTATTTTTTAGAATATGATCCTGATGCCTGTCTTAAAGTATGATTGAGATTTCGTATCTTATAAGGAAATACTTGTGAACTTGAAAACTCAGCTCATAAAGCTGGAAAATAGGAGTAAATTTCCTGAAAGTACTAAGTCATTTAGTTTTGTTTACTATTAGTCACAATGGTAGAGTTTCTGGACACAGCTTTGGTAATACTTCACTGAAAAACATCTAGCAAGCATGTTGTCAGTACTGGTAACAAGAAAAACAATTAGGCACACAGGCCAAACAAGAATTCATCAGATTCCTAAAATTATGTGATAGAAATTTTAGAAGTTTTAGAATATGAATAGATATATTCTCCATTAATTACCTATTAAATTATTACTTTCATCAATTACAAATAAATGAACTGGACTACATAGTAGTGACAACTATAATGTGGAAAACAGAAACCACAGATTATAACCACATTACATTTCGAAGTCTTAATAGCTTTTGAGTTGAGAGTAGAGAAGGGAGGGGAAATTGAGATCAGGATGTATTGTACGACAGGAGAATATATTTTCAATAAAAATTAAAATACATAATTAAAATGAAAAAAGATATCACAAAATTTGTGATTTTAACTTTTAAATTTTGTACATCATTGCTATCCCACTTTTGGATATTGTCTCTTCGGAACTCTTTCATCCAGTAAAGCTGCAGTCAAGAACCAATTAAATAGCAGCCCCCATTTCCTCTTCTTAGATCCCTGATAACTACAATTTATATTTGGTTACTTCAAATGTGATTATTGCAAGTGAACTATATCAGTGGATTCAATTTGGAGGGATCACATACTGCTTATCTTTTTTCATTTTTATTCTATTGGAAAAATAAAACCATAGAAAAATAGTATCCAAACAATAGCTAACTCATTATTGTCAGATATAATATCATACAGTAGAGGGAATGATTTGCCATCCAGAGAGTCATATGTAATAACATTTTTGACAATACATGGCTAATCTGCCAAAGACCATTGATTATGAACCTAGTCTGCATTTTTAATCTTTGCATCTGAAATTTTTGCATTCAAAACAAAAAGTGCAGTCACAGTTGCCTAATTATAGTCATAACGGTCCAAATTAGCCCTCCAGAAGAAGAGCACAAAGTGATACCATCTGTGAAAGTGGACAAACCCCACAGATCTTTCCTGTTTCAAGCCCTGTAAGAGGTTGGGCGACTTCCCTCTGGCTTCTGGCTCACACTTAACTCTTGCATGATTTCATTTCTGCCTTAAAGGCTAGTCTTTCTGAGAAGCTGAGAGTCAGCATGCCTTTCCCATATCTGACCAATACAACCCCTGCCCCATAATATAGTCATTGATGGCCACCTGAAAACAGTAGCTATTTCTAAATCACATATTTCCCATTGTTAGTATGAGCAATTTTTTTAAAAATGCAAATGAAATTTTACCTGATAGGTAACTTGAAAACCACAAAGACAGAATTTCATACAAATTTCTGTTTAAATATGACAAGAAAATTATGTCACTCTGCTTTCACAAAAAGGCGTTCAAGCCTTTTATTAAAAACACAGCTGTCATTTTTGATCAAATACATTCATATTCCCCCATTATGTTATTATGGCCATCATGAAACTTAATAATTGTCCCTTGGTGTTTGATTTCCCATAAAAACGTCATAACACAATCAGCACTATTGCAAATAATTATGAAACTATGCAGAGAGGGTTATGATTTCAGGTGGGAAATATATAATAATAGATTGAGAAATTTAAAACCCAAGTTAATACCTGATAAAGATTCAGTTATCATACAAATGTCAGTAGTAATAAATGTGTGACAACAAAGATTGCTTTATAAAAATGAAAGAGATTCCATACATAATCATTGGCAGAGATTTTAATGATAGTTCAGAAACAATTTGCTTATCATTTCATCATATTAAAGACTATTAATATAAAAAAACTTCTGTGGTAGAAGTAGTACTATACTTTAAGAAATAGAGAATTCAGTAGTTTATTTCTGATTAAAAACTAAAAAGGTAAAAATTTTTCTTGCATACAAACTCTATAATGACTCATCTTGCATTATTGTGAATTGGGTTTGATTTTTTTTTTGGTTTGCTTTGTTTGTTTGTTTTTGAGACAAGGTTTCTCTGTGCAAACTTGCTTTGTAGACTTGGCATCCCTTGAACTCAAAGATCTGCCTGCCTCTACCTTATGAGTGCTGGGATTAAAGGTATGTAGCATTATAGCCCAATATTTCCAATAGGGCACTGAGAATTCTAAAAGAGAGAAATTAGAAGAATGACACTGGACAGCATTTTTCCATATGACATATGTGTGTAGGAAGAAATAACTGAGCTTTTTAATGGATTTGGAAGCCTTAATATCATCAGGGGCATGCTGAACAACAAGTTCACTATAACACAAGGCAAACGCATATTAAGGCATCAGAGAGGATGATGTGGGCTGTTGAAATGGTTCAGCAGATAGAGGCATCAAGTTTGTTGACCTGACTTCAATTCCTAGGCCCTATATTCTAGAAGAAGTGAAATGATTCCCACAAGTTGTCCCCTGACCTCCATGCATGCACCATGGCACAGACAGACAGACAGACAGTCAGAAAGAAACACACACACACATACACACACACACACACACACACACACAAGTGTAAATAAATTCATGTAAAAACCAGATAATGATACTCACATCCAGAGCTTCCATTTGTTGACACCAGAGTCATGTTGGAAGGCCATGGGTTCCTAACAATATCTTGCCAGTGTATGGTGTCAGCATAACACAGGAATTTGTTCTGGTCTACATAGACTCCACCATTTAGAATTTCTGTATTGGAAACAAAACCAACCATCAAGTTGTTATTTAAAAATTTCAGCTATCAGAAAGGCGTTTTTCAAATTTTTTCAATGTTAGAATCATATTATGAGCCAGAATGATTCTAGAAACATGTTCATTGATTCACTTACCTTGATTTCAACACTTCAAAAAGTTACAAGTGCAGACCAAAAATGTAAATAATTTTAATAAACATAGACAAATATTCAATATTTTGACAGAGGTATTTTTAATATCTGTGACTCTACCCTGAATTTATAGCAATACTACTTGTAATATTTCACAATGTACTATATTGATTTAATATTACATATTAGGTATTGATGATAATTATTTTATTTAAGGATAATATAATATATTAGGGTATGAATAATATCATTTAGTAGCATTCTTGTTATTTTATTTTTTCTTTGACTAGTCATTAAAACAATCCCAAAATATCGTTCCACAACCATGGACTGTGAAGTCTTAAGACTTCTGATACATTTCTTAAGACTTATTCAACCTGATGCTGACTAGAGTCTATAATTAGTAATAAGCATAAGGTAAAAAATGAAGATTAAATGTTGTGTTACAAGACATTTTCTCCCATCTGAAATGGTATAAATAGAATATTCAATCATTAAGAGTAACACAAAGAAAGATGTTTTATCGTTTCTGTTTGGAACTGGAACCTGGAAATGAGATAAAAATCCATGAAGGCTACATTTTACTTGATTGTCTATAACACAATTAATACTGATTATCCGAAGTAGACCCCAGGCACAGTATATTTCATATAAAAATCCTCCTTCACATACTTCTAGGTTACTCAGAAAGATTAAGGTAGTCCCTCCAAAATATTATTTAAAAGAAATTAGATATATAAGTAGTACCTTCCTGCCCAATATCTTCTAGAGTTTCTCTCTGTAGTCCAGTAGATAAATAATCTTAGAATAATTATATGATGGTTTGCAAAGTTTTCAACTACAACTACAAACTAAGAAAAACGAGTAACTGTCTTTTTAAAACAGCAGTAGGTAGATTCGATATTGGATCACCTACGATTAGAGCCAGTTACATTCCATGACCTTCTATGTGTTTATATTATCCACTACAGATACAGGATGGCTATGTTCTGATGTGAAATCAGAATAAGATAGGGTAGCAAACAGAAGAATCTCCCTGGAGTATGCTAATACATGAATGGATAAAGAAAAAAATGTTGCTTATACAAAATGGTACTTAGCTCAGCTGTGAAGAAGAACAAAATCATGTCATTTGCTGGAAATATAACTAGAAATAATGATGTTAAAGGAAATATCTGATGCATGAATATAAATGTCAGATGTTCTTATGTGTAGAGCTTAGGTATTATGTAGGAAAACAAGAAATTACATGCATGTAAATTGGGAATGTAGGTAAAGAAGAGATACGTGGGGGCTCAAATGGGATTTATAGGAGGTGTGCAAAGAATATGAGTAAAGAAAATAGAAGTGCATGATGTAGTTGTGTAAGATATCTATGAAATCCATCATTGTGTATAATGAGTATATGCCACTAAAATACACTAAAATTAAAATTTAAATAATAAAAGTATTTTATTGTTCAAGAACATCTCTCATTGGTAGTTATGAAACAGCAGCTTAAGGACATATTTCCATCCAATAAATTCCAACCAGTCAGAGTGTAATAGTGTGGAAAGAAGAGTCATGTCCTTTGAAGCCTTGAGAATCATCTCCCTGTACAGTTCTTCAAGGTGTTTTTAATACTTTTTATTTTTGCCTTTTGTATACCTGTTCCAAGATAAATATTTAGGAGTTTTCTGAAACTAGCATGAAATGAATGAATGAAAGAATGCGTAACAGCAGAGTAGCATTTGCTGATGCAAAATTGGTGGCACATTCAGAGAATCTGATGGTTCTGCATGTATAAAATCCTCTAGATTAATTTATATTTTTGAAAGTAGAGCACTTTCAAACTCAGTTCCATTGCCATCATCAATCTTTTCACTGCCTGTTGGTTCCACTTCTTGAAGAGGAGGAAAAAAAGAAACAAAGAGAAATTAGATCATCTTTCTTCCTCTAATACCTAGTTCATTATTTTTCACGACCCAACCATCCAACCATCATCAGAGCAGAAGGAAGATGTAAGGATGACTGTGAAAAGGATTTCTGTATTAATGTTGAGCATCAGGTTTCTAGGGGAAAATGTGCACAGGTCATATACTAATAACTTCCTCAGGAGACACTGTGTGATGCTCTTCAGCGCTAGGTGAAAGTAAAGAGTATTCCAACTGCTATTCAGGAAATGAAGTTTATTTTTATGTCTAGATATGGAAAAGTTCTACTGAAAAAAAAGACATGAGGAGGGAGGCTACAGCTCAAATATTCAAACATTATGAAAAAGAACCAACAACCTTAGTTTCTAGGAGTCACATTTTAATTCAAACTGTTCACATGGAAGAAATACACTCTCTATTGTCTACTTTTATCTGGATAGTCTCAAATAGAATCAGAATATATTATGATGAATAATAATCTCATCAAGTCTCTTTCTTTAGCAGAATTAATCTACTACAATTATTAACATTTGTTTCTTAGAATTATTACATTGGAGAGCTTGGCTTTTTCTTGGAAACACGGTACAGGAATGAGACAATAATAACTTAAAAACAAGCTTACATACAAAAGTTTCCAGTCAAGACACAATCATGATTAATCTAGATGCTACTTTTTGCCATGAAAGATCTGAAAGCCAATATCCTACCACAACTCTGTTTGGAGAGTTATACATTTTTAACTTTGAATACTGAATAGTTACTGTGTTTTAGCTTAAATAGCCAATTTACCTTTACGACATATGTCTTTCTTGATTTTCAAATGTTAAATAAATTGGTTTTCATTTATAGGAATGTACTAATGCACATAACTAGGTTTAACATTTATGTGAGTATACTAATGAATATATGATGTCACATTTGAAAAACATGTCTAACAAAATATTTTCAGACTAAATTACTGTCAGATAGGACAAATCATAACAGAAAATCAGAAGGACTTAGGGAGATTTTATTCTAATAAATTATCAAAAATGTCACCTGCAATTATGTCTATCTTTAGTAACCTAAGAACAGCAAATTTTTTATTCATTTTATTGATGATTTATTTGAAGAAAAAAATCCCACCTGTTTTATAATCACAGTTTTCTTTCACCTAACATGAAAATAAGTAACTAATACTTAAATTTTAGGATTGTAATTTCTATATAAAAGGAGGAGAGGAAAAACAATGAATGAGTTTTATGGACAGTCAAACAGGCACAAGTTTAGGTTGTAACCAGTGACTAAGTGTATCAAATAAGTGAAGAAGTTCAAGGCAATCTCATTCCACTGTACTCACAGTCCGCTGTGAAAACGTATCAAAGTCAATTAAGAAAGACACAAATAGATTCTTTGTAATTTAATCAGTTAGCAGAGGAAAAGATTTGAGCTTTCTTATTATATTGTATGAATCTATTTCCAGTAATTTTGCAAGACAGAACTGACTCTTACTAATGTATGTTAAAGTTATACTAAATTTGGCATTTCGTAAAAATTAAAGTATCATTCATTATTGAAAAATCTCATTAAACACTTAAATATGTTTGAGTCTTAAACTTTTCTCACTAAGTACATAGAGGTCAAGTGAAGGATGGAATAAATATTTTCATACTTAGAATACATAAATAACAATTTATATTAATGCTGTAATATGGGACTTAACAAGCACGTGTGCGCATTCATGTGTGCGCACCCGCACACACACACACACACACACACACACACACACACACCACTGTATTAAATTTAAATATGACTACACTAAGCTTCGTGAAGTTAAGGGACATTTTTCATAACTGTCTTTGTCCAATGTATGCTTTTACTTATATAACCAAACATAAGCCATGTAATTTCATGCCAACATTAATCATCAAATTTCTGCTATATTTTCTACTTTTATTTGCATTGTGACTCAATAAAATTAATGATGAAAATTATCCTTTTCTGTAAAACCATTTACCTCATTTTATCTGAGGCTGTGTTTAACTCAGAAAACACTTCTGTTTGTCAAACTTGTATCTCAGTATTGGGTATTGTAGAGGGAGATATGTAAATAGATGTTTACTAAGTTAAAATCTATAGACAGTAGAATTTACTGAGTATAAATTAAGTTAAACACACACATTATAATGTTAATATATAATTTTATGGTTAGACTTCTTGTTAACTGAAATGAAATAAATTTCATTATATTAAATGCTTACAACTTATAACATACATAACATAATTTGTAGGGATTATGGTTGAAGTTTACAAGTCACTTTAGCACATTTTAGTAGTATTTAAAAGCCCATTTTATCCATCAAAATCTGTTATTAATTAATACATGAATAATGATGACTTTGAGATATTGTATTTGGTCCCAAAATTTACTTAAGCTTATACAAATTCCCTATCACATACTATGGTATAACCTAAAATTATGCTGTAATACTCAATTGTAAGTCTATCTGGTAAAACTTCTGAACTTATTTTTAAGAAAATACAAAATGCTGATATGACATATGAAAAAGAATATGAGCAACTTACATATTGAAATCCTAAAACACTGGCCATTGACTGCTTTTTTTTCATTTAAATATCCTTTCGTTAATCTAATGGTAATACTTTTGTTATTCAAATAAATTCTTTTGTTATTCACTTTTCTAAAACTATTTATTATAGTGGATTTCCAGATAGTTTCTTTTGATAGACTCATTGTCATTATGTAAATATATTTTTTTCACTGTTCAAGGTTTATTTGGTGTTTTCATTGGCATGACACTTGGGTAGTTGGTTGCATTATCCATATGCAGATCTTACTTCTTATACAATATTTCAATGTATACTACAGACACATAATACACAAAATAATAATATCCGTTAGAACAGTTATGCACAGGATATGCATAATGGACTTACACACTGGAGC